CCCAAAAATAAATAAACGTTGAAAAAAAAAATGTTTAAAAAAAAGAATATCAAAAAGACTGATACCATTCCATGCACCTCTTCTGACCACAACACTAAGAAATTAGAAATCAACCACAAGAAAAAAATTTGGAACAACCACAAATACCTGGAAGCTAAACATGCTGCTAAACAATGAATGAGTCAACCAAGAAATCAGAGAAGAAATTAAAAAATAAATGAAAACATAACGGTCCCAAACCTTTGGGACACAGCAAAAGCAGTCCTAACAGAAAATATATAGCAACACAGGCCTACCTCAAGAAGAAAAATCTCAAATATGCAACCTAACCTTACACCTAAAGGAGTTAGAAAAAGAACAAGAAGCAAAGCCTAAAGCTAGGATAAGGAAGGAAATTATAAAGACTAGAGCAGAAATAAATGATATAGAAACTAAATAAAACAAACAAACAAACAATAAAACAGATCAATGAAACCAGGAGCTGGTTCTTTGAAATAACTAACAAAATTTATGAAACTCTAGCTAAACTTATCTAAAAAGATCCAAATAAATAACATTACAAATGAGAGGAGAAATCACAACCAACACCACAGAAATACAAAAAATCTTGAGAATATTGGGGCGCCTGGGTGGCGCAGTCGGTTAAGTGTCCGACTTCAGCCAGGTCACGATCTCGCGGTCCGTGAATTCGAGCCCTGCATCAGGCTCTGGGCTGATGGCTCAGAGCCTGGAGCCTGTTTCCGATTCTGTGTCTCCCTCTCTCTCTGCCCCTCCCCCGTTCATGCTCTGTCTCTCTCTGTCCCAAAAATAAATAAATGTTGAAAAAAAAATTTTTTTGAGAATATTATGAAAAACTCTATGCCAACAAATTTGGCAACTGGGAAGAAATGGATGAATTCCTAGAACTAACAAAACTGAAAAAGAAAGATGGAGAAAAGAAAGGTGGAGAAAACTTGAACAGACCAAAAACCACCAAAGAAATTGAATCAATAATCAAAAATCTCTGAAAAAACACAAGTCCAGGGCCAGATGGCTTCATAGGCAATTCTGCCAAACATTTAAAGAAGAGTTAATAACTATACTTCACAAACTATTCCAAAAAATAGCAAAGGAAAGAAAACTTCCAAATCCATTTTATCAGGACAGTTTCACCCCAATACCAAAACCAGATAAAGACCTCCTAAAAAAGAGAACTATAGGCCAAAATTCCTGTAAACATGGATGCAAAAATTCTCAATAAAAAACCAGCAAACCAAATCCAAAAATATATTAAATAAATCATTCACTATGATCAAGTGATATTTATTCCTTGGCTACAGGGTGAATCAATATTCACAAATCAATCAATGTGATATACCAAATTAATAAAAGAAAGGATAAGAACCATATGATCCTTTCAATAGATGCAGAGAAAAACATTTGACAAAGTACAACCATTCATAATAAAAACCTTAAACAAAGTAGGGTTAGAGGAAACATACCTCAACATAATGAAGGCCATATACTAAAAACCCATGACTAATACATGCTAAATGAGAAAAACTGACAACTTATCCTTGACAGTCAGGAAAGAGATGGGGATGTCCACTCTCACCACTGTTATCGAACATTTTACTGGAAGTCCTAGTCACAACAATGAGATGACAAAAATAAAAAAAGCCATCCGAATCGGCAATGAAGAAGTGAAACTTTCACTATTTACAGATGACATGATACTATATACAGAAAACGTGAAAAACTCCACCAAAAAACTGGAGTAATAACTTCAGTAAAATGGCAGACACAAAATCAATGTATAGAAATGCATTTCTATACACCAATGATGATGCAGCAGAAAGAGAAATTAAGGAATCAGTCCTATTTACAATTGCACCAAAAACAAGATACCTAGGAATAAATCTAACCAAGAGGTGAAAGAACTATACTCTGAAAACTATAAAACACTGATAAAAGAAATTAAAGATGACAGAGGAAAGGGAAAGATATCCCATGCTCATGGACTCAAAGAACAAATATTGTTAAATTGTCTATACTATCCAAAGCAATCTTGGCTCAGTTGGTTAAGCATCTGACTCTCGGTGTCAACTCAGGTCATGATCTCATGGTTCATGAGTTTGAGCCCCACGTTGGGCTCTGCACTGATTGTTTGGAGCCTGCTTGGGATTGTCTCTCTCCCTCTCTCTCTGCCTTTCCTCTGCTCATGCTGTCTCTGTCTCTCTCAAAAAAATAAACAAGACAAAATACCAACAGCATTTTTCACAGAGCTAGAACAAAAAACCCAAAAATTTGCATGGAACTACAAGAGATTTTGAATAGCCAAAGCAGTCTTGAAAAAAAAAAAAAAAGCGAACCTGAAGACTCACAATTCCAAACATCAAGTTATATTACAAAGCTGTAGTGATCAACACAGTGTGGCACTGGCACAAAAACAGGGACATAGATCAATGGAACAGAACAGAAAACCTAGAAATGAACCTACAACTATATAATCAATTAATATTTGACATAAAAGGAAAGAATACCTACAAGAAAAAAGACTGTCTCTTCAACAAATGGTGTTGGGAAAACTGGACAGCCAAATGCAAAAGAAATTCGACCACTTTCTTACACCATATACAAAAATAACCTCTAAGTGGATGAAAGACCTAAATGTGAGATAGGAAACCACGAAAATCACAGAAGACAGACAACACAGGCTGTAACTTCTTTGACACTGGCCATAGCTACTTCTTTCTCAATATGTCTCCTGAGGCAAGGGAAACAAAGACAAAAATAAACTATTGGGACTTCATCAAAATAAAAAGCTTCTGCAGATCAAAAGAAAAAATCAACAAAACTAAAAGGCAACCTATGGAATGGGAGAAAATATCTGCAAATGACCTATCTGATAAAAGGTTGGTATCCAAACTATATAAAGAACTTCTAAAACTCAACACTCAAAAAACAATCTGATTAAAAAGTGAGCAAAAGACATGAATAGACATTTTTCCAATGAAGACATACAGATGGCCAAGAGACACTTGAATAGATTCTCAACATCACTCATAGTCAGGGAAATACAAATCAAAACTATAATACCTGTCAGAATTGCTAAAATTAACAGATAAGAACCAAGATGTGTTGGTGAGGATGTGCAGAAAGAGGAACCCTCCTGCACTGTTGGTAGTAATGGAAATTGGTGCAGCTTTTTGGAAAATAGTTTGGAATTTCCCAAATAGTTAAAAATAGAACTATGCAAAGTCCAGCATTTCCACTTTTAGGAATTTACCCAAGGAATACATAAATACTAATTCATAGGTTTACATGCATCCCAATGTTATAACAGTATTATCTACAATAGCCAAAATATGGAAACAGCCCAAGTGTCCATCAACTGATGAATGGATAAAGAAGATATGGTATATATTTACAATGGAGTATTACTCAGCCATAAAAAAGCATGAAATCTTGCCATTTGAAAGGACATGGATGGAACTAGAGAGTATTATGCTAACTGAAGTAATCACAGAAAGACAAATACCATATGATTTCACTCATATGTGGAGCTTAAGGATCAAAACAAATGAGCAAAGGGAAAAAAAGAGAGAGAGAGAGGCAAACCAAGAAACAGACTCTT